AGGGCATGTTTGGTAAATTTACAAGGGATTTGGTGTTGCTCAAGAAATGGAAGTCAGGGAGAAACAGAATGAGGTGCAGGGTGAGCAGAGGAGAGGGTCACAGAGAGTCTTAGTTTTTTCCCTGTAGGTGATATGATGCTCTTGGAAGGCGTTCAGGCAGGAGAAAGGCATGGTCGAAGCTGTGTTTGTTGTTTGTTTTGCAACAAGTTTTTCCATATATTTGCCCCATCAGGCTGAATTGTCATCAAGAAGGTATCTATTTTGCCTGTCTCCATATTATGTTTTTAGTTATGAAAAATTTTCAAACAAAATTAGAGAGAAGAGTATTAAAAATATAACTGTATGCCCATCATCCAGATTCCATTATTAGGTTTTTGCCACATTCAATTCATCTCTCTTTCTCTCTCTCTCCCCTTTTTCTGTGAAAATAATTCTTTATTATGGTAAAATATATACAAACATAAAATTTACCATTTTAATCATTTTAAGGTATACAGTTCAGTGATATTAGGTACATTCACATTGTTGTGCATCCGTCACCACCATCCATATCCAGAACGTTTTCGTCTTTCCAGACTGAAACTCTGTACCCATGAAACAATAACTCCCATTGCCCCGTCTCTCCAGCCTCTGGCAACTAAATAGCAACTTTGTGTCTCTATGGTTTGAAGGCATTTCATATAAATGGAATAATACAATATGTGGCCTTTTACTTAGCATATTTTTTAGATCAATTTTACATTGTAGTACATATTCGCATTTAGTTCCTTTTAGGTTTAAATAATATTCTATTGTATGATATACCATGCTTTGTTTATTCACTTATCAGTTGCCGGACATTTGCATTATTTATACTTTTGGCTATTAATCATTATGCTGTGAACATTCATGTCTAAGGTTTTGTGGAAACATAAGCTTTCAGTTTTCTTGGGTATATCCTAGAAGTGGAATTGTCTGCCTGCCTTTCTTTCTTTCTCCCTCCCCTCCCCTCCCCTCCCCTCCCCTCTCCTCCCACCTCCCTTCTGCCCTCCCCTCCCACCTCCCTTCTGCCCTACCCTCCCCTCTCTTCCCCTCCCTTCCCCTCTCTTCCCTTCTCTTTTCAGAGATGGGGTCTCTGTTACTCAGGCTGGTCTCAAACTCCTGGGCTCAAGTGATCATCCTGCCCAGCCTTCTACAGTGCTGGGATTACAGGCATGAGCCACCAGGCCCCTGGCTGGAATTGCCATGTTATATGGTAACTTCATGTTTGCATTATTTATACTTTTGGCTATTAGGAAGTGAGCTATGGGAAGGGAAGGGAAGGGGAGAAAGAAAGAAAGGTAGGCAGACAATTCCACTTCTAGGATATACCCAAGAAAACTGAAAGCTTATGTTTACACAAAAATTTAGACATGAATGTTCATAGCATAATGATTAATAGCCAGAAGTATAAACAATGCAAACTTTATGTTTAAGAAGTTGCAAAACTGTTTTTCAGTTTTCAAAGTGGCTGTACCATTTTACAATTCTACCAGCAAGATGAGGGTTCTGAAATTTCTATATCCACAACAATACTGGTTATAATCTGTCTTTTTTATTGTAGCCATCCTAGTGGAGGTGAAGTGATATCTCATTGTAATTTAATTTGAATTTCCCAGATGACTAATGATACTGAGTATCTTTGCATATGCTTATTGGTTGTTCATATATCTTCTTTGAATAAATGTCTATTTGGATCCTTGGCCCACCTTTAAATTGGGTCATCTATCTTTTTATTATTGAGTTGTAAAGTTCTTTATATATCCTAGATACATGTCCCTTATCAGACATATAATTTTAAAATCTTTTCTCCTGAATAGTGAGTTATCTGTTCTAATTTTGATAAAGTCAGATTTTTCTATTTTTTCCTGAATGTGATTTTGGTGGTATAACATCTAAGAAACCACTGTCAAATCCAAGGTCACAAAGATTTGCCTCTGTATTTTCTTCTAAGAGTTTTATAATTTTAGTTCTGAGATTTAGGCCTTTCAATCATTTAATGTTTGTATATAGTTTAAGATAGGGGTCCAACTTCATTCTTTTGCATGTGTATATCCAGTTGTGCCTACACCATTTATTGAAAACATTATTCTTTCCCCATTGAATTGTCTTGGCACCTCTCTCAAAAATCAGCTAATCATAAGCATGAAGGGTTTTTAAAAAATATTTTTTCCCATCTCTCAACTTTTAGCTGAAGATGATGGGTTATTTCTGTATCTCAATTCCATTTCATTAATCTGTGTCTATCCTTATACCTATACAACATTGTCTTGATTACTGTAGCCTTGTAGCAAGTCTTGCAATCAGAAATATAAGTTCTTTTGTTCTGACAAAAGAAGAACTTTGTTCTTCTTCAAGATTGTTTTGGCTATTCTGAGTCTCTTGAATTTCCATACAAACTTTAGGAGCAATTTGTCATTTTTTTGCAATGAAGGCAGTTGGAATTCTGAGAAAAATTGGATTGAATCTGTATTTCAATTTTGGGAATAGTGTTATCTTAGCAATATTTTTTAAAATTATTATTTTTTGTGGAGATGTAGTCTCACTTTGTTGCCTAGGGTGGTCAGGAACTCCTGGGCTCAAACAGTCATCCTGCCATGACCTCCCATTAATAATATTAAATCATCTGAACCATGAAAATGGGGTGGGGTGCCTTTTCAATTATTTAGATCTTTGTTAATTTCCTTTAACAATACTTTGTAGTTTTCAGAGTTTAAGTTTCTGACCAGGCACAATGGCTCACGCCTGTAATCCCAACACTTTGGGAGGCTGAATGTGAGGATTGCTTGAGCCCAAAAGTTCAAAATCAGGCTGAGCAACATAGTGAGACCTCCATCTCTACAAAACTAAAAAAAAAAAAAAAAAAAGTTTGACATTTCTTTTGTTGAATTAATTCCCAAATATTTTCTTTTCTTTGATGCTATATAGTGGAGTTATTTTTAAAGTTTTATTTTGGGGTTGTTCATTTCAAGGGTACAGAAATATAATTAATTTTTGTATATCCTGCAAGCTTGCTGAACTTGTTAGTGTTAGTTCCAATGTTTGCATGTGGGGGGGTTGGAGGGGTGGGTATCTTAGGATTTTCTATATACCAGATCACATCATGTGCAAATATAGATGGTTTTAATTTTTCTTTTCCTATCTAGATATCTTTATTGCTTTTACTTACCAAATTACCCTGGACAGAACCCCCAGTATAATGTTGAATGGAAATGGCAAGAGCAGACTTCCTTGTCTTATTCCTGATCTTAAGTGCAAAGCTTTCAGTCTTTCACTATTAAGTGTTATCTGTGGGTTTTTCATAGACGTCTTTTATCAAATGGAGGAGGTTCCTTTCTAATCCTAGTTATTGAGGTTTGGTTTTGTTTTTGTTTTTAAATCATGACAGGGTGTTAGACTTTCTCAAATGCTTTTTCTGCATCCTTTGAGATGGCATAATACATTAATTGATTTCAGATGTTAAAAGACCTTGCATACTTGGGATTAATTCTACTTGGTCACAGTATACAGTCCTTTCTATATGTTGCTGGATTCAGTTTGCTAGTGTTTTATTGAAGATTTCTGTGTCTGTATTCATAAAGGATATTGATCTGTAGTTTCCTTTTCCTATGATGTCTTTAGTTTTGATATCAGGGTAATACTGGCCTCATCAAGTGAATTGGGATGTGTTCCCCCCTCTTCTGTTTTTTGTAAGAGTTTGTGATAACTGGTATTGATTCTTATTTAAATGTTCGGTATAATTCACCAGCGAAGCCATCTGGGAATGGGCAGACTCTACCTTATTGCTATTACTGATGAGTTTGATATTACCACCTGATCTGGTTTGGTTGTGACCCCACATAAATCTCACCTTGAATTTTAACTCCCACAATTCCCATCTGTCATGGGAGGAACCTGGTAGGAGGTGATTGAATTATGGGGTAGATCTTTCCTGTGCTGTTCTCAGAATGCTGAGTAAGTCTCACAAGATCGGATGGTTTTAAAAACAGGAGTCTCCCTGCACAAGCTCTCTTTGCCTGCCACCATAAGATGTGACTTGCTCCTCCTTGCCTTCCGCCATGATTGTGAGGCCTCCCCTGCCATGTGGAACTGTAAGCCCATTAAACCTCTTTTTCTTCCCAGTCTTAGATATGTCTTTATCAACAGCATGAAAATGGACTAATACACAACCTCATGAGACCTTGTGCCAGTTATCAATGTATTGTCTCTCAGGTCCAAATTCATCCTTCACTGCCTGCTCTGAGAAAATGGATCTGAGCCTTACATTTTTTTTTCCTTTATTCTCTTTTGTGATGATATGCTTTATAGGTAGAAGGCCCTGAAGAGCCATTTCAGGAGGTTTTGCTTCCTGGTCTCATTGTGCTCACTGGCACACTTCTGCAGCACAGCACCTTCTCCAGCATCTGTTCCCGCTTTGATTGGTGGCCACAAACACTTGGCAGCCAGCAATATTCCTTAGCACCCTATTGGGCGGTTTTATAGCAGAGGCTTCCAGGAGACTCCTCCCCATGAATACAGTTCCTCAGCAACCTAAAAGTACCAGAAAATTCTAGAGGGTGGATTTATGGGAAGTTCCACTGGCAGATTCCCAATGACTTCTTGCCATTTAATGAGCCATAGCCGTACTCTCTTCAAAAGGGTCTCAATCAGCCCTGGCTGGAGGCGAGAGGCTCCTCCTTGGGAACTCTATCACAGCATTAGAGTAGCAGCTGTTCCTTATATCTGCTATTGTCATACTCTTTAAAGCTCTCTAGTTCTTATTAGCCAGTGCTTCTTTATTCCAATACCCTGTTATAGCTAATAATTCCTCATATATTAAACTGTCTCTATTCAAATGAGCATGGTTTGTCTCCTGATGAGGCTTTGACTGATAAAGATATATCAAGCTTTTCCATGGATCCATCTATGCCTGGTCCTTGTATATAGAAGGCATTCAATGAATATAGTCCCTTAATAACATCATGACACACAGTTTTCTTATGTAGTTGTCACAATTTCAGGCCCTTTCAGCCTTATATTTATTGAGGAGTTACTGTCTGTGCTCAGGAATCTTACTGTGTGGCAGGAGATAAGAGGAGAGAATCGGTAGCTAGAAGAATACAACAGCTAAAGTGGCCTTGGTGAATAGTCCAGAATGATTAAAAAAAAAAAAAAAAAAAAAAACTTAGAGCATTAAAAAAAATTGCATGAGATGATACTGCAGAGATAAGCTAGAGTCAGATGATGACAGGCCTTGACTTCTATTGGGAAAGGCAGTCTGCTGTGGCCTTGAGCATCTCTGCATGTGCTTGCTAAGTATGCCAAACACAAGGCCTAACTTTCCTCTAATACTGAACCATTTCTAGCTAGTCACATTGGTATTTAAGTAGGTTAAGATGACCACAGCATAACTACCATGCAACAGCTCACTCCCTCAGGGAAGGAGGCTGGTTTGTTTGCCACTTGCTACAAAAGATGTTAGGCCCTTGGCCCTGGATCCCTCAGTTGTGGTGCAAATTGCTGCATGTGCAACCACTGTCCGGGCCCATTGCATTTACTCCATAGGACTTGAGGACAGGCCAACCAGTGCTATACCATGCTGATACTTCCACTGTATGCTGTATTGAATAATAAATTGCTTCGTCTGATCCACCAAATTTCATCTACATTGTTACCAATGGAGTTGTGGCAGGTGAACCTGCTTTCTTGCTTAGTCATCTCCTTTGGAGTCTTGCTATTTCTTGGTATTCTCTAGGAGGTTGGGGCTCTTCTCTAACAAAGGGTGCCATGACACAGGCACACACACACACTACAAAATGAAAATAAACATGAACTAGAAAGATGTTTCCTTGCTTGAGAAATGCAGATAAATGCCAAAGCTATTGGAAACCAGAAAACCAAGTAATTTTGAGTATTTAAAATCAGTCCTGTATTGTGATACACCAAGACCAAACTTGAATGTTATTCCACATAGGAATCTAACCAACAGAATTAGTTCAGATTTGGGGAATGATGGTGAGGAAACTATATTTTATGGAATTGCTAACACATTTAAAATAGTAGTTGGTAAGAAAAAGTGTGTTCTGGGCTGGGAGTGGCAGCTCACACCTGTAATCCCAGCACTTTCGGAGGCCGAGGTGGGCAGATCACCTGAGGTCAGGAGTTCAAGACCAGGCTGACCCATGCGGCAAAACCCCATCTCTACTAAAAATACAAAAATTTAGCCAGGTGTGGTGGTGCATGCCTGTAGTCCCAACTACTTGGGAGGCTGAGGCAGGAGAATTGCTTGAACCCGGGAGGCGAAGGTTTTCTGTGAGCCAAGATCGCATCACTGTACTCCAGCCTGGGCAACAGACCAAGACTCCATCTCAAAAAAAACACAAAAGTGTTCTTTTACTTTTTACAATAAATCCTGTTTGAGAAGTTATGATCCTTGTGTAAAAACATCTGTAGCAAGTAGTCTCTCATTTGTGCAGTGATAACTGTGGGCATTTATGTTTTTAGATTAAATCCTGTATTTGAGTAAAGATGTTAACAATACTTTCATGGACTTTTATGGTTAATTTCAGTATGTAAATTAGCATGTAGTTCATTTATAATTTTAGAAACTAGTAAACTAAAAAAAAATTTCACTCAAATTATCACTTCCTTTGTAACACCTATCCTGACCCCTGCCTTCCTTCCTTGTAGAGATAACTATTTCATCCTCTGTACCCTCAGGGCTGACACTCTATTCAGGTTGTTGCATCCACCTTAACACTTGCTATCTTCATGTGGAGACAGTGAACTCCCCCAAGGGCAGGGACCAGGACTCAGCTGCCTCCCCAGCTCAATTCCTGGCTGAAAGCAAATGCTCAACTAGTGTTGTTGGTTAAAAGGAATACATGCCCAACCTCACTAGTCTGTAAAGAAAAGCAACCGTGAGATGCCACCTTTCCAACTTCTAAACTAACAAAGATTAGTTATAAAGAGGAAGTTCTGGGAGGAGTCCAGAAAGCTACATTCTGGTCCAACCTTTCCAAAGGTCAATTTGGCAATTTCCCCAAGTGTCACACTAATGTTATGTAACCCCAAATTCAGGCTCATGTACCTGATGCAGAGCTGAAGCCAAACGCTAAGACACAGGTGCTTGGAGATAGAGAAAGGATTGTTCAACTGGGCCAAAGCAAGAAAGCAGAAGAGAAAGATCTCTCAACTGCAGCTTAACAAAGAGATGACAGCAGGCGTTTTTATGGGGTAGGGTGTAAAGGAGGGAGAGTTGCCAGGAAGATAGGGGAAAAGTCTGTGCCTCTACAGTCTCAGATAAAACTTTGAGCAACCAGACTTATAGGTGCCAGCAGCTGGTCGAAAAGTCCTTAATGGCATTCATTCCTTCTGCAAAATATTTTCATGATCCTGAAAGTTCTCTCTCCTGCTAGACAAAGAAACAGGACATCAGCAGTTTATAATTATATTGTGGGAACAAGAGATATTGGGCAAAACACGAGCGCTTACTATGTGCATGCAAGCAAGGGCCTGATCAGAATTTTCACTATGGCCGGGTGCGGTGGCTCACGTCTGGAATTCCAGCACTTTGGGAGGCCGAGGCCTGCAGATCATTTTGAGGTCAGGAGTTGGAGACCAGCCTGGCCAACATGGTGAAACCCCGACTCTACTAAAAATACAAAAATTAGCCAGTCGTGGTGGTGCATGCCTGTAATCCTAGCTACTTGGGAGGTTGAGCCAAGAGAATCACTTGAACTTGGAAGGTGGAGGTTGCAGTAAGCCGAGATCATACCACTGCATTCCATTCCGGGCGGCAGAGCGAGACTTGGCCTCAAAAAATAAAGCAAAACAGAAAAAAAAAAAAAAAAAACCCAAAACACCAAACGGAATTTTCAATACCTCAGTTACTAAAAATGCCAGAGAAAAATGCCAGAGCACTTAAATCTCAAGGGGCCTGGTTACACTCCGAATGGGGAGACGTAGGCCAGACGCACTGGAAAGGTGAGCAGTGCCTTGGCTGGAAACCCGTAAGCCTCTGACAGAGAACGGGCATACTCTACCTCGCTATCTGCAAGGAAACACACGGGCCGGCAGAGGGCAAATTGCGCACACCGCCTGCACCGGGCACCGGGCTCCGGCCTCCTCCGCATTCCGCAGTCGTTGCACTTTTCCCACTTTTATAACCAAGAGAGGAAGTACGCGCTGCTCGAAAACGCGAAACGCGCATGGGACCCTAGGACTCGTGCGCCCTCAACGGCTTGAAACCGGGTTCCAGACACTCGTTCGCGCCCTAGGGCTCCCGTCGCCCAGGTCCGGGTGCTCACTCTCTCCAGGGCGCAAGACCGCGAGGTGGCGAAGCACCTACTTGGCTGCGCGCGACGTGGCGGGGATGCTGCAGTCCCGCGCGCCCCACCCGCTCTGGGCGTGTCAGGGTAGGCGGTGTTCAGGAGTGGAGCCCCGCCCAGCCACCGCCTTCGGGTCCTGAGAAGACTCTACTCCTGGCCTCCCTGTTTCAGCTGTTGACCTGCGGGAGAGCTACACCGCTCGCCACATGCGGTCCCCTCAGGGTAGTGGGCCTCATGGGGCTCCGCCGCCAGATCTGGGCCAAGTTTCTTCCAGAGACTTCACTACCGACATGGGGTGTATGAAGGACGGTCCAGAGAACATTTCCCGACCTGCCTGTTTGCCTGACCTGAATGTGAGGTCCTTGAGCGCCCTTGAGCCGTGGCCTTGGGCCTGCCAAGATTGAGGCAGGCGTGGTCACCGAATACTTCTGGAGTGGGGAAGCGGGCACAAGTTACACTGTCCCTGCCACAGGAGCTCCCACTTTTGCCAGGGAAACTAACCTGGAGGTGGGAGCTCCTTTTATTTGTTGGCCTTTTATTATACCCAGGGGAAAACAGTTTGCCAAATTTGGAGGGTGTGTTAGAAATGATCTGTCTTAATCATCCTGAAAAATCTAAAAATTTGGCTGGGCATGGTTGCTCATGCCTGTAATCCCAGTACTTTGGGAGGCCAAAGTGGGCCGATCACTTGAGGTCAGGCGTTCAAGACCAGCCTGGCCAGCATGGTGAAGCGCTGTCTCTACTAAAAATACAAAAATTAGCCAGGTGTGGTGGTGCACTCCTGTAATCCTAGCTACTCGGGAGCCTGAGGTAGGAGAATCGCTTGAACCTGCGAGGCAGAGGTTGCAGTCAGCCGAGATGGTGCCACTGCAGTCCAGCCTGGGTGACAGAGCAAGACTCCGTCTAAAAATATATATATATAAAAAATATATATATATTAAAATATATATTTATATATATTAAAATATATATATATTAAAATATATATTTATATATATTAAAATATATATATTTATATATTAAAATATGTTATATATTTATATATGTTGTTATATATTTTATATATTTTTATATTATATATATATATTACATTGGAAGCAGGTGCCTCAAAGAGGTGAGCAGCAGAAAGGGAGGGCAGTTAAAGGCCATCAGTCAGTCATGGCCTCCCAGACCCTGGGAACTCTACCACTGCTGGAGAATCTGATCAAGCACTAATTGAAGGTTCTAGTTGACAGAGAAAACGGTGATTTCAAATAAGAACCTCAAAAGTCAGATGATTGGAAGCTCTATGGATTTGGAATTCAACTGCTTCTCAAGTGGGCAACTAAGTGTGCTCTAGGGAAATTTGAGTTACTTATATTCCAGGCCATGTAGGACTATCCCAAGCATGTGAAATATGTATATTTGCAGGGGGAAAAAGTCTAGGGAGAAACACACACCAAAGGAATACATTCGTTCATTCATCAGGCATTACCTATTTCATGCCACACCTTGGGCTCTAAAGAATCAGAACTACCACGTAGCAAGGGAGAAAAACGGGCAAGAATAAAACATCGTTTATTTCCTTATTTTTCTCTGTGTTTTCTAAATGTGACTAGATCTCTAATGACCAAGAAGGTTTTATTTATTTTGAAAAAAAATACTTTCCCTGTTAAAAGGTGAGCCACTCTTCTGAGGGCAGAGTCGGAAAGAAGGGTCCATAAGCCCACCTAGCGTCCGATTTCCTTTCTTTCTTTCTTTCTTTCTTTTGTTTGTTTGTTTGTTTAACAGGGTCTCACTCTGTCGTCCATGCTGGAGTGCAGTGGCGCCATCTCGGCTCACCGCAACCTCCGCCTCCTAGGTTCAAGTGATTCTCCTGCCTTCGGCCTCCCGAGTAGCTGGGATTACAGGTGCATGCCATCACGCCCGACTAATTTTTGTATTTTTAGTAGAGCCAGGGTTTCACCATGGTGGCCAGGCTGGTCTTGAACTCCTGACCTCAAATGATCCACCCGCCTCGGCCTCCCAAACTGCTGGGATTACAGGCGTGAGCCACTGTGCCCGGCCCCAGCGGCCAGTTTTCAAAGCCCCTCTGCTCAGCTTCCAGAGATCCCAGGAAACTCTAAGCGGGAGCATCTCGTATCCCCACGATGCGACTGGTCACAAAACACGCGACCCGAGACACTGAAAGTGGAGGCTTCTTGATGGATCAAGCTGCTTAGTTCTCATACCGACCCGCGGCCAGGCTGTAAGACAGGTGGTCGGCTACAGACACAATCACAGCCACCTTGGACAAGGACCCGTGAGCTGACAGCCATTAAGCTTCATAAACTGGTCCAAATCCAACGGGCCGCTACTGCCGGAAACGGAAAGTCCTCAAGGGCGGGTGTTGGAAGCAGAGCGGAAGCGGAAGGAGGGTACCGGAAACGGTGTTTGGTGGCGCCCGCGATGGCAGAACCTGTGTCTGTTGCGGCTGACTATCTCGCGGGCAGCCGGGCGCGCGCTGCACGCACAGTACTAGGTCAGGTGGTGCTCCCGGGTGAGGAGCTGCTCCTGCCGGAACAGGAGGACGCGGAAGGCCCTGGCGGTGCCGGGGAGCGACCGTTGAGCCTGAATGCTGGAGCGCGCTCGCGGGTGCGCGTTGTATGCGGCCCGGGCTTGCGGCGCTGTGGGGACCGCCTGCTGGTCACCAAGTGCGGCCGCCTCCGTCACAAGGAGCCCGGCAGTGGCAGCGGCGGCGGTGTTTACTGGGTGGACTCTCAGCAGAAGCGGGTGAGCTGGGACTCCGGAGGGGTGGTGCGGCCGTGAGAGTGATAGCCCTGGTTTGAGAAGACCTCTCAAAAGAAGAAGGGATGGGATCCTGAGGCCCTCTGTTGTTCAGGCAAACCTAGAGCCACCGTAGTCTTGTGCCCACTGCTGCATGTCCTTTGGAGGGACCGTGAACAATAGGAACATAGCCTGAGAAGGGCGACCAGGAGAGAAAAACGTTTGGAGACCGTGAGTCATGATTGTAGTCTTCAAAACTCCAAACGTCAGGGAGCAGCAGGCTTGCCCATTGAAGTCTCAGAGGGCAGGACCAGGCTCAATGAGTGGATGTCATAGGGAGTTAATTTCTCCTAGAACAGGTAAGAACTTTCATATAGAAAAAATTGTCTAACTATGGAATAGGCTTCCTTGGTTGTAAGGATTCCTTTGACACTGAACTTATGCCACAAAGCTAGGAACTTACTGGTTGGGGTGCTGAAGAGATAATGGGGTTTGGACTCAATTAACAGACTACCAGAAGCTGCACACCTGACACTTTATGATGTGATTTTCTTTTACCGAAAGTGGCATATGATCGGATTTCTTTCTCTTTAAGGACAATAAAGTAACCACGAAGGACTTGCTGAAGGTATCTTCCAATGGTATCTTTTCATTTATGGCTGTTTTCTCATTCTATTTCCTTTTGTAGTATGTTCCAGTGAAAGGAGACCATGTGATTGGCATAGTGACAGCTAAATCTGGAGATATATTCAAAGTTGATGTTGGAGGGAGTGAGCCAGCTTCTTTGTCTTACTTGTCATTTGAAGGTGCAACTAAAAGAAACAGACCAAATGTGCAGGTAATTATGGGAGCCTTTGGTTTCAAAGTAAGAAACATCCATTCCCTAGAACACTCAGATATCCAGAAGGCTACCTGAATTGTCTCCAAAGTATGACCTAGATCTTTGAGCATGTATATAATTGCCCCAGGCTCCAAGAGTTTCTTCAGATGCTGCAGGATCAGAGCCACATAATTTTTTTTTTTTTTTAAACATTTACAATTTATTTTACATTGGCTACATTTGTTCTTGGGATGTTTCATTTCTACTGAGTTGAAAGGTTGTATCTGTCATCACCATTATTTGTTATGTCCATATCCTCGGGACAAGGATGTCTGTGTATGCTTAGAGGAGGGACAGGTGGTGCAAATTGACATTATCAGCTATCCATCCATCCTGGCTGTAGGTCCTAGGAGCTGATAGAGGAGTAATACTGTTACCTTGGGTTTTCAGGTTGGGCTTTTCAGGTAGCATAGTCACACGCTTCTTGTGTATCCAGCCCGAAATTTAGTGATTTCTTTGCCTCTTCTCGTTTACTTCTCATGCAAATTTATTTGCTTAATCTTATTTGATTCTGTCTCTGATTTTTGGCATGTCTATCCCTTTATCTCCACTTTGCAAGTTCAGGCTTTAGCTCTGTCTTGACTGGTCTCAGTCACTTAATCCTTAATCCTAAATTCATTAATCCTTGCCTCCACGCTTTTACCTCACCATCCAGGGTTTTGAGAGCTGACATCCTAACACAGTTACTTTCTCGAAAAGGAAAAACAAGATTCTCCAAAATCCACAGAATTCCTTGGCATTACACTCCAGGTGTCTTTCCTCATCCCTAATTATATCCTTCATACAGCCATACTCGAATCACACCAAACGCCATTAGACTCAATTTCCTGCCCTTATTCCTTTGCACATGCTGTTCCCTCTGTCTTGATTGCACTGTCCCTTCGCAGCCTGTGGAACACATTCTCATCCTTTGAGACCTAGGCTAAACACAACCACCTCTGTAAAGCCATCCCCAGTTGTGACTTTTCTCATATTTTTGCTCTAGCACTTACTGGATTTAGCCTCGACTGAGGTTTGTTTATATGTACCTCCCCACTGCCCTCCAAGACCAAATGCTTCTGAAAAGCAGAGAATGTTTTGTTCCTCTCTAGTTTACATAGTCACCAACAAACAGTGGGTACTTAATATGTTTTGAGTGAACAGAATTGAGTTCACTCTCCATTTCCTCAGTTTCATCCCTTTAAAGTTTAGCTCTATGAGGTTTTTAAGTAAATCTTGCAGGGAGAAGTGTCAGTGAATTATTGTTTTGTTTTGCTTTGAATAATTTGCATGCCGGAGTTCCTCTCTGTAAATCTGTAATTCTCTAGGGTAGTGCCACCTAACATAACTTTCTACAGTGATGCTGTTTTGTATCTGCACTGATTAGTATGGTAGCCACTAGCTGTTGAGCACTTGAAATGTGGCTAATGCAACTCAGGAAATTAATTTTAAATATCTAATTTTAATTAATTTAAATATAAGTTTAAACAATTGGCTACCTACCATATTGGACAGTGCAATCCTAGAGGTGTTCTCTGGCCTTGAGATGGCTCCTTGTCTGTGATTTCCTGGTTGGTGAAAGGGAATGATACATGTGTTCCTTTTTTTCCCCAAGACTCAACTTCAAAGTGACTGTGGGAATCCTGTAGTACAGTCAGTCCCTTAGCCACAGAACTGTAGGTGGCTGGTATTGATGCCTGTGAGAAAGAACCAATAGCAGCACCTGTAGTTTGCTGAGAGGAAATGAACTGGTTTTTAATATCATTGTAGGTTGGAGATCTCATCTATGGCCAATTTGTGGTTGCTAATAAAGACATGGAACCAGAGATGGTCTGTATTGACAGCTGTGGACGAGCCAATGGAATGGGTGTCATTGGACAGGATGGTCTGCTTTTTAAAGTGACTCTGGGCTTAATTAGAAAGTAAGTCCTGATGTCTGCTGCCTTGCCTGCCTTCTTTTATAATTATACATTCTTGGAAAGTTGGTTAATCTTCAGGATTCAGATTATTTGTAACATTTAAATTTCTCCTCAAAGTTAAAAATCAATATCCATTTTAACACATTTGGAAACTCATGAATTTAATCCTATCTTCTTGGAAACATATCAAATTCAGATGTGTTTGGCTGTGTAGTTTCTGGTGGGATAATACTTCATGCTTTAAGCTCTTACTCTGTATTAATGTCTTCCCTCCCAGGCCTGTTCGTTAGTTGACTCAGCCCAAATGTGAAAACTGGCCTTTCCCCTGTTCTGAGTCACTTGAATACAGATGCAGTCTGCAGTTGTACAGAATTATCAAATTTTTCTAATTATGGGGGTCACACGCAGCTTAGATCGTGATGTTCAAGGTTATGTAGCCATTCACAGAAGGCTTCTGACACTCGGTCCTGGTAAGTTTAATAGTTCCCACTGAGGCAGATTCTCTTTTTGGTGTTTAGAAATTTACCCACCCAAAGCTGTGCCATATTCAGGGGCTTTACTCCTAGAGCCCATGAAGTTCAGAGCTATCTTGTATGCCTCTCCTTGCTACGTATCCTAAAGATCTGGAGAATTAAGTTTGGACATCAGAGAAGCATGTTATTAACCAAGAAACATGTTATTAACCAGGCACCATCCTTATGGTTTGAAAGAGCCAATGTTCCTCTCCAAGTACTGAATTTAATGCAAGAGAATAATATGGTCAGGAAAGTAAGTTTAAAATGTCTTTTAGCACTGTAGGTGACAAAAAAAGTTATGATTCTCAGTCTAGAATTAAAGTGCTCTAACAATCTAGTGGAATGACTTTTACATTTTTTGTGAAGTTGGTAACCTAGGGAGTTTGACTTCTTCGTAAGGGATAGCCCACCTCTGTGATCTCTAATATACCTTTGAACATTGTAAAGTTTCTTGGAAGGAGGCAGCAAATGTTATCATGTGCCTTGTTCTTGTTGAACAACTACGGAGAACTCAGAAAAGGAATCACATTCTAAAGGAGACTCTGGACACACCTTCGCCACTTTATTAAATTTCATTTCCTTTTCTCTTCCCACAGGCTATTAGCTCCAGACTGTGAAATCATACAGGAAGTGGGAAAACTCTATCCACTGGAGATAGTATTTGGAATGAATGGAAGAATATGGGTTAAGGCAAAAACCATCCAGCAGACTTTAATTTTGGCAAACATTTTAGAAGCTTGTGAACACATGACGTCAGATCAAAGAAAACAGATCTTCTCCAGATTGGCAGAAAGTTGATATAGGTGGACTTTTTTACAGGTCAGTTGATGCAAAAACTATGGGTTTCCTGGGGAATACTTTTTTCAGGTGAACCTCTCCCCATTTAAATACTCAGAAGATAAGGTGTGAATGTATATTATCAGAGTCCTAAAGTATTTTTATAAGTAAGTTACTGGTTTTCACCCACGCTTTAGAGAGAAAATCATTGCAAAATCATATTTTCTGTTTCTGTACAATAAAGTTTACTAAACAGTATTATGGTTTATTTGGAGTTAACTCCCTTAGTATTGCTACAGCTTCCATAATTAACTGGAAGTCAGCAGTAAAATAATTTTCTGATTATAATAGTAAGCCAGGTTCACCAGAGGAAATGCAGACTACATGAAAAGTATAAAGCAGCAAAATGTCACCTGTAGTCCCATTATTCAGGGGGTGAGTATATAACAATGAAATATTGTGTGTTTTCCATTTACCAAGTACTGTGTTTTGCATGGATTAACTCCTTTATTCTTACTAACTGCAGAAGACACTTATCCTCATAATTGAAATGGAGGCAGAGAATTTAACTTGGCCTACATTCTCTGTATGTTCATCACATTGAAATTATAGCTTATATGCTACTTTGTAATATACTTTTGTCTACTTCAAACAGCATGATACATTTCACAACTTCCATTAAAAATTCATTAGTCACATATTTCATGTTATAGGATATTTTTGATGTAGTATATTTGATATATTTGGATATAGTTTATTATTATATAAATAATGAGGATTTCTGAATCCAAATCTGGCCAAGTCTTATTTTGCTAAAATCATTTCCTAGGAGCTAAGCTAAAACTCTTCTATGCTATTTAGTATATTAACCAAAACCTTTAAAGGTAAAAAGACTGCCGGGCAATCCACGTCAGTGATTCTTGGTTTCTAGACCTCTTTGAGAATACGTGAGATATTATAGATCCCCTGAAGCCTATCCATAGAAAGTCATTTTTGGATGAAAGAGATTATAGAATTTATTGTTTATATGTTGATAAAGACCAAGGAGCTTTATGTGTTCCTAATGATGTTTTCTGAGGACTGGGTGGTTTTTTTACTTCAATAGATTTTAGGGCTACAAGTGGTTTTGGGTTACATGGATGAATTGTATAGTGGTGAAGTCTGAGGTGTACCAGTCACCTGAGTACTATATATTGTACCCAATATGTCATTTTTTATCCTTCCCCTTCCCCCTTCTGGGTGTCCAGTGTCTTTTTCCACTCTGTGTGCTTACCTGTAGCTTAGCTCCCACTTACAAGTGAGAACATTTGGTATTTCGTTTTCCATTCTTGAGTTACTTCACTAAGAATAGCTTCTAATACTATCCAAGTTGCTGCAAAAGACACTTGGTTCTTTTTTATAGCTGAGTAATATTCCATAGGATATATATACACACCACATTTTATCCATTCATTGGTTGATGGGTACTTAGGTTGGTCGCATATCTTTTATGATGAACTGTCTGGCCAGTGTTTAAATAATAGAAAGATACTGGTGTAATTTATTAGGTGATCACAGTCCTTAGGAATTAAATTGTGAAGGGGAGGGGACAGAGCAGAGAAGTAATCTTTTGGTTCTGGTTCTTTTGAGTTATTGAATACATTTCCTGAATTTGCTAGCTGCTTAACTAGCAAGTTAACTAACCCAAACTGTCAGAGTAACTGAAGCAAATATGTCCAACTGGGACATAAGGAACATGAGATTTGTGTATTAAGCAGGTTATCTAACATGCTCCAGTGTCAAAATGGAACACTTTCTAGCCATTTTCAAGACTGACTTTCATCAATACTGTGTTTGCTTTACAATTTAATCTGTTACAAAAACATATGAAGAATCTAGTTGGTACCAGGCTCAGAGAAGATAGAAAGATAGGTACACAGATCTGTCCTGTTAGGATCCTGCCATTAGGAAGAGAAGTCCTCCATGCACATACTCCACAGGGTAAGAGCCACAGGAGGGAACAAAATGCTATGGGGACTCAGTAGGGATAGGTCAGAACAGGCTGGATCCTGCAAAGCTTATTACAGAGCTGGGAGACGATAAGCATGATCAGACAAGGCTGGAGAAAGTCATCCAATTTTATGATGCCAGTTTAGTGAATATTAAACTCTTGATATAACCATTTAAACAATTTCAAGAGGTCTCTCACAAATAGATATACAACAGTTCAATTAGCACATCCAAAGCCATGTGGTTTTGAGGCTAATTCCATGTTACATAAATTTTTTTTCTTCTTGAGACAGTCTTGCTCTGTCGCCCAGGCTGGAGTGCAGTGGCACGATCTCGGCTCACTGCAACTTCCACCTCGCAGGTTCAAGTGATTGTCCTGCCTCAGCCTCCCGAGTAGCTGAGACTACAGGCACGCGCCACTGCGCCTAGCTAATTTTTGCATTTTTAGTAGCGACAGGGTGGTTTCACCATATTGGCCAGGCTGGTCTGGAACTCCTGACCTTGTGATCTGCCCACCTCAGCCTCCCAAAGTGCTGGGATTACAGGCATGAGCCACTGCGCCCACCACATTAACTTTGTATTACTTATCTGGGCACTTCTTGTGAGCCAGGCACTATGGGAAATTAAAAAGCATTAAATGTGGTCCCGGACATTAGCTTACTGTGAAGCTCTGAGAAGATGTCATGCAAAGGCAATTATGTGCCACTGCCACCCTCTGCCCTGCTCTTTGGTCAAGGTAACTCCAGCACCTCACTCCTGCAGCTGCAATTTTTTTTTTTTTTCTTTGAGATAGAGTCTTGCTCTGTCACTCTTGTCACCCAGGCTGGAATGCAGTGGCGAAATCTCGGCTCACTGCAACCTCCACCTCCCGAGTTCAAGTGATTCTCCCACCTCAGCCTCCCAAGTAGCTGGGACTACAGGTGCATGCCATCACACCTGGCTAATTTTTGTATTTCCAGTAGGGACAGGTTTCACCATGTTGGCCGTGCTGGTCTTGAACTCCTGACCTCAGGTGATCTGCCCACCTCGGTCTACCAAAGTGTTGGGATTAAGGGGTGAGCCACCACGCCTCGCCACGCACCTGCAATCTTAGGCCCATCATTCCACTGAGTTCCGAAGAATATAGCCTTTTCCTGAAGTAACTCCTTTCTTCAATGCTTCAGGCCAGTTGCGAGTCTCTAAGTAAGTCGACAGGATATCAAACACTGTTAGAGAGTAAACAGAAAACACAGTAACCACACAGAGGAAAAAAAGAATGAGTAAATGAAATGAAAAGGATGTTCTGTAATATTTCATTGAACCTATTCTGCACCATATGTGGTACTAAGGTCCTGCTGGGAGAGAGGCAAGGACACAAGCTCTGCTTACTCTCAAGGACTTCAACTTACTCTGAAAGATACAGGCCTGTAGGGAGTAACAGAAAGGAACACAGTAAAATGGGAACACAGAAGGGTCCTGCCATGGCCTGGGATGGGGAAGGAAGCCAAGATGTTCCTGAACTGAACCCTGAAGATCAAACAGGAATTCAATGGTCAGTGAGAAGTTAAAAGCAGGGCATTCTAGGTCAAGGGAACAATTTCTTTCTTTTCTTCATCTCCTTCGTCTCCTCCTCCTCCTCGCCGTCCTCCTCCTCCTTACTCTCTCTCTCCCCACCCCCCCTTCCCTCTCTCTCTTTCTTTTTTTGAGGCAGAGTTGTGCTCTTGTTGCTCAGGCTGGAGTGCAATGGCATGATCTCAGCTCACCACAACCTCCGCCTCCCAGGTTCAAGCACTTCTCCTGCCTCAGCCTCCCAAGTAGCTGAGATTACAGGCATGTGCCATTACACCTGGCTAATTTTGTATTTTTAGTAGAGACGGGGTTTCTCCACGTTGGTCAGGCTGGTCTCGACCTCCCGACCTCAGGTGATCCGCCTGCCTCAGCCTCCCAAAGTGCTGGGGTTACAGGCATCAGCCACCGCACCCGGCTTTTTTTGTTTTTGTTTTTGAGACAGAGTATCACTCTGTCACCCAGGCTGGAGTGCAGTGGTGTGATCTCGGCTCACTATAACCTCCACCTCCCAGGTTCAAGCGGTTCTCATGCCTCAGCCTCCGGAGTAGCTGGGATTACAGGCGCGCGCCACCATGCCTGACTAATTTTTGTATTTTAGTAGAGATGGGATTTCACCATGTTGGCCAGGCTGGTTTCAAACTCCTAACCTCAGGTGATCCGCCCACCTCAGCCTCCCAAAGTGCTAGGATTAAAGGCGTGAGCCACTGCGCCTGGCCAAGGGGACAATTTCAACTATCTTTAACATAGTTGGTGACAAGGAAGAAAACAAAGAATGCCTCTTGGTGGCCAGAATATGTGTCACGAAGTGCATGCAATAAAGTCCAAGCACATTAGTCACGGAGGAGACTGACTCAAAGGCCACTTAAACACAGTGCAAAGCAGCAGCACCAGAACTCACACACGCTGGATGGGGGCCGTGTAAGAAGTACCTTGATTGATGGCCAGGATCTCTGAATGATAGTTTTTCCCATTCTGGTTTCTGACCATGTATTCCTGGATTGGCAAGCGTGCAGTCTTGACAGAGTACTCCCAGGCCTTTTGAAATGTCACCTTCTGTAAATACAGTTAAATCTTTTTCTTATAAAAATTATCCATGAGTATATTCCCAATGTAATACAGCTTTAAAAATAAGTACGCTATTGTGGAATGGAAGAAACTGCAGATAATGAGTTAACTGTCTCAAGAGCTTATGTGACAATATCTTACTTTTGGGGGGTCACTTATCCACAGTCCTCCACTCACTACCACTTAGAACCAAGAGGGAAATATGCAAAAGAGGCACATCTGCAGCTACAGTAGACATCAAAAGGCCCAAGAAGTCGAATCAATCAGAGCCCATTCTGAGCCCTAACTCAGTAAGACCCAATTCTGGATGTCTGGAACTTCCAGCTCATTGCCAAAAGGCAGCATCAAGAGAAAAGGTAGACTGGCCGGGCGCGGTGGCTCAAGCCTGTAATCCCAGCACTTTGGGAGGCCGAGGCGAGTGGATCACAAGGTCAGGAGATTAAGACCATCCTGGCTAACATGGTGAAACCCCGTCTCTACTAAAAAATACAAAAAACTAGCCGGGCGAGGTGGCGGGTGCCTGTAGTCCCAGCTACTCGGGAGGCTGAGGCAGGAGAATGGCGTGAACCCAGGGGGCGGAGCTTGCAGTGAGCAGAGATCCGGCCACTGCACTCCAGCCTGGGGGACAGAGCAAGACTCTGTCTCACAAAAAAAAAAAAGAGAAAAGGTAGACAAGATTCAAGATAGGTGCACCACTGCAACAAGTGGCATTAAGGTGTGAGAACAGACAGCCCAATTAAAAGAAAGGGGCCAGGTGCAGCGGCTCACACAACACTTTGAGGCCAAGGCCAGAGGACTGCTTGAGCCCAGGAGTTCAAGACGAGCCTAGGCAACATAGGGAGACCCTGTCTCTACAAAAAAAAAAAAAAATTAACAGGGTGTGCTGGTGTGTGCCTGTAGTCCCAGCTACTCTGGAGGCTGAAGTTGGACAATCACTTGAGCCTAGGACATATGTCAAGGCTGCAATGAGCTGTGATTGCACCACTGCACTCCAGCCTGGGTGACAGAGGAGACCCTGTCTCAAAAATAAAAGGAAGGGCTCTGAAAACTGCAAAAAGGAGTCACAAGAAGTCCATCAACTTGAGGCCATTTAGTGGCGGAATACAGAAACTGATGTCCCTTTATAACATGTTCCTCAGTCATGAAGTCCCTCAGACTGAGTCTTGACTCAGTCAAATTACATTGCTGCCTTGTAAGAAGCACAGGAAAGATTTTCCACCTAAGATTTCAGGATTAAAGAGAAAGGTTCAGATTACTGGGATAATTAACATGCCGAGGCTTGGAAGGGGTCTCAATAGTGAACTATCTTACTCTAACCACCCATCCAATGTCTGTCTATCCTCTATGACTTCTCCTCCAAGAGGCCATGTGGCCACTCAATGAACAGCTCTTGTGACAGGGAGTTCATGAATCCTGGGACAACCCACCCAACTTTGATAGTACCAGCTGATAAGAAATTCTTATTGATCTTGAGCCAAATTCTCTGTTTTCTCTGAGACTTCCACTCATTCATCCTAGGTCTATTCCCCCAAGGCCAGACTATGCAAGTAAGATGGCCATTCAGAAACCTGAAGGCAGTGATCATGCCCCTAGGAATCCTCTGGTCTCCAGGTTGTAGCCTCAGTTCTGTCAACTCTTCTTTGACTATGACTTAGTTTCAAGTCCCTTCATCATTCAGGGCAAGTTCTTCTGAACTTGTTCTAAGCTAGTCAATATCATTTTGTTTACAGTCCCATAACTGACTGGCCATGATGAGTGTGGTCTAACCAGGTGGAATAGAGTGAAGTGGACCTAATACCTTTTTGATGCTGACACCTGCCTCTCACTCACATGAAACAAAATTTTAAGAGAGAACTTCCAAAAATGTTTTAAGAGATGCAACTCTGATAAGACAAGGACTTAACTGAAAGGATAAAACTCCTTTGCATATATGAGCTATGATACATTTTATAAAAAGTCATTCCTTTATAATCACTTTGAACTAGAGTACATAATTCAAAATTAGTAGGATATTTGGGTGTTGCCCTAGAAGAGCTTACAATTTAGTTTATGTTCTTTGCACAATGATTCATAATAAAATGAATCTCCTTGAAGAAATGTTGTTCTTAGCTTATTTCTGTGAAGAAGTCAAACTCCAATAACAACCAAAAAGTTCTAAACATCTCACGAATCTTCCAGTTATTTTTCAGTTTACAGGTGGACAGATAACACAGCGTATTAAAACTGCACATCTATAAGTCATGCACTTCTCACTGACCCTCTGAACTTAACTGCTTCAAAAAAGGGACTGTTGGCCAGGCACCGTGGCTCGTGCCTGCAATCTCAGCACTTTGGGAGGTTGAGGCAGGTGGGTAACTTGAGTCCAGGAGTTCGACACCAGCATGGGCCATATGGTGAAACCCCAACTCAGCAAAAAAATTAGCTGGGCTTGGTAGCACCCACCTGTGGTCCCAGCTACTTGGGAAGCTGAGGTAGGATCAATTGAGCCTGGGAGGTTGAGGCTGGAGTGAGCTGTGATTGTGCCACTGCACTCCAGCCTAGGCAGCAGAGCAAGGCCCTGTCTCAAAAAAAGAAGGGGGGGCTGTCACCCTGCTGCAGGTAAGACTAATAAACTTTTAATTAATTATTATTTTTTAGAGACAGGGTCTCACTGTGTTGCATCACCCAGGCTGGAGTGCAGTGGTATGACCACAGTTCTCTGCAGCCTCTAACTCCTGGGTTCAAGTAGTCCTCCAGCCCTCCAAAACTTTTTTTTTTTTTTTGTGAGACAGAGTCTTGCTCTGTCACCAGGCTGGAATGCAGTGACGCAGTTTCGGCTCACTGCAACCTCCGCCTCCCCGGTTCAAGAGATTCTCCTGCCTCAGCCTCCCGAGTAGCTGGGATTACAGGTGCACACCACCATGCCTGGCTAATTTTTATATTTTTAGTAGAGACAGGGTTTCACCATGTTGGCCAGGATGGTCTCGATCTCTTGACCTTGTGATCTGCCCGACTTGGCCTCCCAAAGGGCTGGGATTACAGGCGTGAGCCACCATGCCCGGCCCAAACTTTTTACTTTGAAATATTTAAAACCTAAGAAAAGTTCAAAACAATAATACAATCAATATTCATTCCTGTAATCTAGACTCACCAGTTGTTAATATTTTGCATTTTTTCTCTCTGTATATAAATACGTATTTTGGGCTGGACAAGGTGGTTCATGCCTGCAATCCCAGTGTTTTGGGAGGCTGAGGCAGAAGGATTGCTTGCAGCCTGGAGTTCAAGACCAGCCTGAGCAACATCAAGAGACTTCGTCTCTAACAAAAATACAAAAAAAAAAAATAGCTGGCCATGGTAGCACACGTCTACAGTCCTAGGTACTCAGGAGGCTGAGACGGGAGGATTGCTTGAGACCAGAAGTTCGAGGTTGCAGTGAGCTATGATCGCACCACCTCACTCAGCCTGAATGACAGAGCAAGACCTTGTCTCAATAAAAAACAATTTGCCGAACCATTTGAAAGTAAGCTGCAGACATCACAATACTTCTTCGCTAAATACTTAAGCATGCATCTAAGAACAATGACATTCTCCTACCTTACCACAATACCATTTTCACTTCAAAGAAACTGTTTAATAAATCTGTAATTTCACTTAATACACAATCTATATTAAAATCTGCTCAACTCTCTCCAAACTGTCTTTTATAAAGCTTTCCTCTCAATACAGAATTCAAACAGGCTCACATGCTGCATTTGGCTATTACGGCTTTTTAACCGTTTTTTCTTTTCCTAATTGTTTTGTAGAGATAGGTTCTCACTATGTTGCCCAGGCTGGTCCCAAACTCCTGGCCTCAAATGATCCTCCTGCCTTGGCCTCCCTAACTGCTGGCAATACAGACATGAGCCTCTGTGCCTGGACGAACCTCTTTTAATCTAAAACAGCCTCCTGCCTCAGTTAAGTCCAGTCCAATTGTTTTGCAGAATGTCCCACATTCTGATTTGTCTGTTTCCTCATGATTAAATTCAGCTTAACCATTTTCTGGGCCAGGTGAAAGGGTTCACACCTATAATCCCAGCACTCTGGGAGGCTGAGATGGGAGATTGCTTAAGTCCAAGAGTTTGAGGCTGGACACAGTGAGACCCTGTCTCTACAAAAAAATTTAAAAACGAGGTTGGGCACAGTGGCTCACACCTGTATCCCAGCAATCTGGGAGGCTGAGGCAGGAGGACTGCTTGAGTCCAGGAGTTTGAGACCAGTCTGGGCAATGAAGTGAGACCCTGTCTCTACAAAACAGATTCAGAAACTAGGCCAGGTACAGTGACTCATGCCTGTAATCCCAGCACTGTGGGAGGCTGAGGTGAGTAGATTGCTTGAGTCCAGCAGTTCAAGACCAGCCTGGGAAACATGGCGAGACCCTGTCTCTACAAAAAATACAAAAATTAGCTGGGCATGGTGGCACATGCCTGTAGTCTCAGCTACCCAGGAGGCTGAGGCAGGTGGTTCGAATGAGCCCACGAGATTGAGGCTGCAGTGAGCCATGGTCACACCACTGCACTCCAGCCTGGGCAACAGAGTGAGACCATGTCTCAAAAAAATAAATTAATAACTAGCTAGGTGTGGTGGCATGGGCCTGTAGTCCTAGCTACTCAGGAGGCTGAGGTGGTGGGAGGATTGCCTGAGCCCAGGAGTTCGAGGTTGCAGTGAGCCATGATCACTCCACTGCACTCTAGCCTGGGCAACAGAGCAAGGCCCTGCTTCAAAAGGAAAAAAGAAAAAACATTTTCTGGCAAGAATACTTCACCTCAGGAGGCAGAGATTGTACCTCTATGGGTGATACTAAGTTTGATCAAGTTTGGATAAGATGGTGACCACCAGAATGCTTTATTGTAATGGTAAATCTTTGCCTTTGTTATCTGTAGGGTGATACTTTGAGACCATGTAAATAGCCAGTTCCTCCACAACCTTTCTTTCAATTGTCTGAGTCAATGATTATATTAGGAGTGACAAAATGATGATTTTCTAATTCTTTTTTTTTTTTTTTTTTTTTTTTTTGAGACGGAGTCTCGCTGTGTCGCCCAGGCTAGAGTGCAGTGGCCGATCTCAGCTCACTGCAAGCTCCGCCTCCCGGGTTCACGCCATTCTCCTGCCTCAGCCTCCCGAGTAGCTGGGACTATAGGCGCCCGCCACCTCGCCCGGCTAGTTTTTTGTATTTTTTAGTAGAGATGGGGTTTCACCGTGTTAGCCAGGATGGTCTTGATCTCCTGACCTCGTGATCCGCCCGTCTCGGCCTTCCAAAGTGCTGGGATTACAGGCGTAAGCCACCGCGCCCGGCCAATTTTCTAATTCTATTATGCATTTCTTATTAGCTGGCATTCTTCTGTAAGCAGCCCCTGCTCGTTCTTTAGATGATCACTATGGAGTCATGGAACACTAATGTTTTTAAAATAAATTTAATTAAATTAACCTGTCATCTGTGTTAAATATATGTACATCTCATACATACAGGAACAAATAGATAGCACATATCTACATATATGTAAAATATACCCACACATATTTTGTGATCATATAATGTCTCAAGAAGGATACACAAGAAAACTTGACATTGGTTGCCTCAGAGGAGGGGAATTGGAAGACAAAGGTAGGAAAAAGACTTATTTTTCACTCTACTCTTTTATATTTATATATTAATCTTTATTATTTAACTTATTATCTATGTAATATGTTAATTAGTAAATATAAACAAACTTATCTTGACAAATAGCTATATAAAAGAAACATATTTCAAAATTCCAGTGACACCCCAATTATTCCTCTAAAACTCCAACCAAAAAAAATGTGGATAATTCTAGGAGTTTGAAGTTTTGGGATAAGACTATTTCAGCAAAGAGGTCAACATGAGAAGGAGCAAACTACTCTCTCAAAGAACAGACAGCCAGTAAGAATGTTGAGTCGATGCTTACTTGTCAAGATCAGAGTTATCCTTGCAGAACTGAAGACAGAAGCTCAACAATGGCTATTTATGTAATTACCAAACAGTGCCCAGTCCAGTTCCCAACTCTTGATTTTGCTGACATTGCTCATGAGGAGAGAGGGAACTTCACTGGCTAGAGGGTCAACCTCATGGGGATGGCTTTCTGCCTGTTCCCTCTGAGTTCTTAGATCCTCTAGATGAGATTATGACAGAGCACATGCCTCTAAAAGTAAGCACTGCTTTTTAAAACACAGATGTTGGGGCTGAAATGTAATACTTACCTTCTGAATGCTTTCATCCACAAGCCCACCGAGGATGTAAACTTTGTTTAGATCAACATCTTCAAGAGCTAATGAAAAAATGAAGGCCAATGAGATCAAATCTGTTTTATAATTTCTAAATCCAAAGAAAGCAAAATGAAAGAATTATTAACAATAAAAGTAGAAATTCAATAGAGAACAAAAAGAAATTTGCTCAATAAAACCAAAAGCTAATTTTCTAAAATGGCCAATAAGACAAACTGTTGGCATAGCTAATCATGAAAAAGGGAAGCAGACCCAAATCAACATTAGATTCAGAAAGGAAACAAAATTAAAACTACAGAAGAATGTGAAATAATTATATGAGAATACTATGATCAACTCAATACCAATATATTTAAAAATTATGTGAAATGAATGATTTTCTAGGAAAAAATAGATCTAACATTGATCCAAGAAGGGCTAGTGGGACAGCTGACCAAGGATACTGGGAAAGACTGGCAGGCAGTACACAAGGCCCGGATGAGCATGGAAACCCGAAGTCTGTGCAGCTGTGAGCCACACAGTAAGACATATCAAAGCATCCAGCAAGGCACCTGCCCATAAGAGGAGCGCAGCTCATGTGCATTACTTTTTTTTGCGGGGGAAGGGGTATCCTTCTTGAGGGGCTTTAATAAATTCTGCCACAGGGAATAATGAAACACAGTGTTAGGAACAATGGGCTATACGAATCCATGCATTCAACTACATACCATGTTCTGAGTCAGGAGTCAGGTACACAAGGGTTTCCAGAGGAAATAAACTAAAGCAGTCTTCTTCTTTTATATCTAGCTGAAAATGCAAACAGTCCAATGTTAAAACAGCTCACGGCTGGGTGGGGTGGCTCACGCCCATAATCCCAACACTTTGGGAGGCTGAGGCAGGAGGATCACTTGAGATCAGAAGTTCAAGACCAGCCTGGGCAACATGGTGAAACCCAGTCTCTACTAAAAATACAAAACAATTAGCCAGGCATGGTGGCATGTGCCTGTAGTCCCAGTTATAATACTTAGGAGTCTGAGATGCGAGGATGGCTTGAGCCCAGGAGGCAGAGGTTGCAGAGAGCCAAGATCATGCCACTGCACTCTAGCCTATCTAAAAAAAAAAAAAGAAATGCTCAAAGTTCAACAACTAGCTACTGAGCTTCGAGTTTCTATCAGGCATAGCTCTAGGTTTATCAAGGAACTGCATGTGTGACAGACTGACAACTGCTTCTCAGAAAGTACTCAGTTAGGAGGGAAAGCAGACACAGACATTCAAACCTATTTGAAATGAGACAGCGATATGGGGTTCTGACAGAGGTACGGGGAGCATGTTCCAGGACTACCGATGAGGGAGTAACAACATCAGGATGACCTTCTGGGGAAGGAAATGCTGGGACTGGGTTTCTGAAAGGAGATTTAAAAAAAAAAAAAAAACACAGGGTCTGGCTCTGTCACCCAGGCTGGAATGCCGTGGCACATTTAGACTCACTGCAATCTCTGCCTCTCAGGTTCAAGTGATCCTCCAGCCTCAGCCTCCTGAGTAGCTGGGACTACAGGCACGCACCACTGCACCCAGCTAATGTTTGTATTTTTAGTAGAGGTGGGGTTTTGCCATATTGCCTAGGCTAGTCTCGAACTCCTGAGCTCAAACAATCCACCTGCCTCAGCCTCCCAAAGTGCTAGGATTACAGGTGTGAGCCACCATGCCCGGCCTCAAAAGAGATAATACTGACATACACAAAAGGAGAAGAACTCAAAACTGAGGGAATCACCTAAGAAAGGCAAGAAGACAGGAAAGTAAGGGAACTATGTGGACCTGTAAAAGGAACTGTTTGGCTTCTGTAAAATAATCATTTAAAAAAGTACATAGAAGAAAACTGGAACTAGCTGCACTGCAAGAGAGACTGTGAAGACAGTAACAGCAAAACAGCTGGCTGTGCAGCCCTGTGCAATGCACCCTTCACATTCATCTTCCGTGGACCTTCCTGGGGAAGGCCACAACTGCTCAGTCTCAGCTACACAATGCAAACACACTGGGCCTTTTCAGTGACATTTCTGAGAAACTCATCTGGATTCTTGCATGTATATGTATCACTAAATGTATGAGATCCTAAAGAGAGGTGAAAAGTGCCTTAGTACTCCCTAAAACTTATCTTAAATTTGCATTACTTCTAAAAGGATTCCTTCTCTTCCCCAAAAACTCATGTTTCCCAATTCACCATTAATGAGAACAAGAAAGGAGTCATGGCATTTCCCAAAAATATTCCTGGAGTATACAGTCTAGCATAAAATATACAGGATACAAAATATAGTCCTAGACTCTGGTAATAGTACTTTGCCAATGCAGTAGGAGGATGAGAAAAAATTTTACATGTAAGACCTAATGAGAGGTTCTGAACTTTTTAGATTTCAATACTGAAAATATAACATTATATATATGAAAAAGTAAATTAAAAAAAATACTATTACCCACAAAAACTTTTCAGATGACAATTCAAATAATATGCAAAAAGAGACTTACCAGGTAACTAGAAAATCCATCATTCATCCTCACACACTCTTCATAAAGGGGACTGTCTATTGTGAATCCAGTGAGGCAGATCCAAAATGGCCTGTCAGCTTTTTTGTTTGAACCATACAACCTTCGAATCTGTCCAGCCAGTCTACTTAATTCCTTCAAAGAAGTAAGAACAACTCAGGGCGAAAACATGGCAACTCACTCTAAATTAGCTATCAAGAAACGGCTACAATAAGTTCACTGAACGCTACTCCAGAAAACCCCATGAACTAGGAGTACATGTGTGCGTGTGTTATACCTTATGGTATCACACCTTACAGACAAAAGATAATGATACGAGTCCGGAAACAGTGAGGTAGTGGAAAACTGAGAATTTGCCCTCCTGCTGGCCCTGCTGTTAAATGTTTAATATATGAAATTCTTATTTTAACTTTTATCTAAAATCTTATGTAATACTATTTAAGTTATTAAAGAGGTTTGATTAATATACAGAAATGTTTATAGAACATCAGATAAATTTGGTACCTTCTTCCTAACTTCAGGAGATGCAATAGGGTTGGCAGTTTTAACTTTTTACCCTGAATCACAGACAATGCTCTTACATAAAAGCAGTTCCACAATTTAGCTTGATTTGTTGGATAGGAAAAAAAGACTCTGGGTTTGATTTAATCTGCTATCTTAATTAAACAGTATGGTTTTTTTTTTTTTTTTTTTTTTGAGACAGAGTCTGGCTCTGTTACCCAGGCTGGAGTGCAGTGGTGCAATCATAGCTCACTGCAGTCTCAAATTCCTGGGCTCAAGTGATCCTCCTACCTCAGCCTCCTGAGTAGCTGGGACTACAGGTACAGGCTACCATACCTGGTTAATTTTTAATTTTTTAGAGACAGGTTCTTGCTATATTGCCTAGGCTAATCTCGAACTCCTGGCCTCAAGTGATCCTCCTGCCTTAGCCTCCCAAGATGCTGGGATTATAGGCAGGAACTCCTGGCCTCAAGTGGTCCTCTTGCCTCAGCCTCCCAAGATGCTGGGATTATAGGCAGGAGCCACTGTGCCCAGCCTAATAGTAGGGAATTCTTGGTTAACATTTTTAGAGGGCTAGAGTTAGAAGTTTCAGGTAAGAACCTCAGATCTGCAGTTTCCCTAACTTATCTGAAAAATATGCAAACACTAGCACATACAATAGATGCCTGAAAAGAGAGTTTAAAATTTACATACTGTGATATAAGGCCTAAAATTAAGGCCCAATATTATGTGCTGCCTTGACATCTGTCAAAACTGGGAATACTTCAAATAGCCTAATAGTAAGCTCCCCTCCCAACTCTGCTCCCGTAGATAAGGTCTCCTAGCTTTAAAAAAAAATCCTTTTTATCAAGGGTCCAAGGCATAGTCTCTGTTTATCCCTAAGGAGTGAGTTTTAGTTCCCTGCCAGCCCATGGAATTCTCCAAACAAGCCAATCGCATCCTCCTATAGTAACCAGAGGGCACCTCACCCCCTAGATACCACAAAGCCCACCTCGCACAGTCCCTTGTTGTTCATTCTGTTCTTGATTACAATCCCCACTTGGCCCTGTATGGTATACAGTATCTTTCTCCCCTGGGCTGTAAGTATATGAGACTCAGGAACTGCTGTGAATCGCATCTGTCCAGTGTCAGGTGTCATGCATTCTGCCACTCTCAGAACTTTAGTGTGGGAATCCTTCCCTCATCAATGGGGTGAATGAGCATCAATTAAAACGCATACATTGAGGCTGGGCATGGTGGCTCATGCCTGTAATCCCAGCACTTTGTGAGGCAGAAGTGGGAAGATCACCTAAGGTCAGGAGTTTGAGACCACCCTGGCCAACATGGCAAAACCCCATCTCTACTAAAAATACAAAAAAGTTAGCCAGGCATGCCAGGCACGGTGGCTCACAAGGTCAGGAGATTGAGACTACCCTGGCTAACATGGTGAAACCCCATCTCTACCAAGAATACAAAAAATTAGCCGGGCATGGTGGTAGGCGCCTGTAGTCCCAGATACTTGGGAGGCTGAGGCACAAGAATGGCGTGAACCCAGGAGGCGGAGCTTGCAGTGAGCCAACATCGCATCACTGCACTTCAGTCCAGGTCAGAGTGAGACTCCGTCTCAATAAAAAAGAAAAAAAAATTAGTCAGGTATGGTGGTGGGTGCCTATAATCCCAGCTGCTCAGAAGGCTGAGACAGAAGAATCGCTTGAACCCGGGAGGCAGAGGTTACAGTGAGCTGAGATTGTGCCATTGCACTCCAACCTGGGTGACAAGAACAAGACTTCATCTCAAAAAAACAAAAACAAAAAAAACACACACGTTGCAAAAAGTTCTTCCACCAGCTAATCTTCCCACAACGTGCTACCAAGCAAATACTCCTCTTCCCAAAGATTCAGTGTCTGGCAAACTGAACCTGAAAGGTTCCATCCAGACCGAGGACATCATGAACAAAGAGGCAAAGATGTTGGGCTTGAAACAAAAGACAAGATAAAAATCTGCAAACTAAACCAAACTACATATATTCTCTTCCAGATTCTTTACAACAGCCACCTTGGAACTGAGTGATCCAGTATAGGAAATCAAACACTTTCCTAGTTTACTAAGGAATCCCAGAAGCTGGAGTTGGCCATATTCTTCGTGAAAGCTGCACCCTTCTGGGCCTCCCTCATGCGAGCAGGAATTCCAGTGGATGTTCTACCTTCTTTGACATGTGGTGGGTCATACTCAAATCGATACACAGTCTTGGTCCTGAGTGTTTGGCTTCCAAAAGTTTCTCTTTGGTTAGAGCTCTCAGGAAACGTTTGCTGTGCTGGGGGCAGATACCTAAAGCAGAAAGATCAGAAAGAAATAAAAGTGGAAAACCAGAGGAATAATACTATATAAGAAACAAATCTCCCTAGCCAGGTGAGTTTTGTTTTTGTTTTTCATATAAAGAGAAACTTGATAGTGGTATAAGGTATTCATTCATTAGATTTACACATAGCAGAGCGGGGAGGAGTATGGGCTCTGGAGCACACAGCAGGGTTTAAATCCAAGTTCGGTTTGTTCACTGATTAGCTAAATTATCTTGGGCATAATTATGCTACTTAATTTCTCGAAGCCTCAGTCTCTTCACCTAGAAAATGGGAATGATAATAATAGCTCCTCTCCACTGAGTAATCCACGTAAAATTCTTAGAACTGAACCTAGCACAGAGTACTGAATAAATGATACTGTTGCTGGTATCATTCCATCCATTCTGAGCTTATAAACACATACGCTAATTAGACAGTTTATATTTGAAACGCAACCTTAAATTTTGCTTCTTTTTTTTTGAGACGCAGTCTCACTCTGTCGCCCAGGCTGGAGTGCAGTGGCTCAATCTCAGCTCACTGCAACCTCCACCTCCCGGGTTTGAGATTCTCTTGCCTCAGCCTCCCGAGAAGATGGGACTACAGGCGCCCACCACCACACCCGGCTAATTTTTTGTATTTTTAGGAGAGATGGGGTTTCACCATGTTAGCCAGGACGGTCGTGATCCACCCACCTTGGCCTCCCAAAGTGCTGGGATTACAGGCGTGAGCCACCGCGCCCGGCCGCAAATTTTGCTTTCTTTGATGTTTTGATTCCCAAGAAAATAGGACAGTGGGTCCCACATCCCAGATGCTTTTTACTTAAACAAAATTCCTACTCTCCTTGGAACATGCAGACACGTTTGCTAAAAAATAAATATGATTATACCAACAGTCTCATTTATTGTCACCTGGATTTTCTGCACGATTGGCTTTTCTTCGTTCTTTTTCTTGCTTTCTTTTGCTCTTCTTTGCTGCAACTATCTTTTCCCAGTGTCTCTGTTTTCTCTGGACATTTTTCTTATATTATCCAGAAAACAAAATTGTTTGAGAACTTCATAAGCACCAAAAAAGGAAAATGAATATTAGAAACATTTACTTATTTTTTCTCATTTATATATAAGGTTTGGCAAGAAAAAGGAAATTACTCATAAAAACAAACCTAGATTGGATCGTGTTTAGAGAAAACAGAGCCCCAGAAAAAGAGATGTGACCTGGTCAAGGTCACAGAAAATTCATTAGTGACAGGGCCTGGAGTTTAGATTTCCTGACCTTTCAGAGGTGTATCAAAAATTCCTTTTGAACTTTATTTACTTTTCCTATGACTCAGATGAAACTAAAACTTTAAACCAGTTAGCAGAAAATTAATTCATCACTTAGAATACACAAAACTCATTCCCAGTTTCTCTTTTCACTACCAGTATCCATCCTTAAAACAGGGGTGTCTGAGACATTCCATCATTCAAGGCCTATGGCCAGGCAATTCACTACACTCACCGAGCACCATGCTGTACTGCCTGTGGCCAGGGTCTCTCCCTCCTGGCACTCGCCTTCTGCATCAATCTGCAGAAGCTGGAAGCCTTCAGGAAGTCCATCTTCACCTGTCTCCTCTAGGATGCCTTCTTCCCCCTGCAGCACAGGTGATTCTACTTTCTGAGTACTCCCTTGCAATCTCCAGTCCATGTGCTTAGTCCTCTGTTCTTTCAACCAGACTGGAAAAAGGCACAATTATGTAAGCTATTACATTATTTCACTAACATAGGTATCTCCCTACATCCAAATAACAAAGTGTTATTGTGTTACCAAAAGATCAGAAGTGTGTAAAATACTGAACCAGATTTACTGGACTGAGAAAAACTTGTGTCTTCCAGAGAAATGATTCAGCAGAGAAACAGTTCAGTAGTAAGGAAGCCAAATACACTTTTTTTTTTTTTTGAGACAGAGTTTCACTCTTGTTACTCAGGCTGGAGTGCAATGGCGTGATCTCAGCTCACTGCAAACTCTGCCACCTGAGTACAAGTGATTCTCTTACCTCAGCCTCCTGAGTAGCTGGGATTACAGGCGTCTGCCACCAAGTCCAGCTACTTTTTGTATTTTTAGTAGAGACGGGGTTTCACCATGTTGGCCAGGCTGGTCTCAGACTCCTGACCTCAAGTGATCCACCCACCTCAGCCTCCCAAAGTGTGGGGACTACAGGCATGAGCCACTGTGCCCGGCCCCAGATGCACTTCTTAGAGGACATGCACAACACCTGACATCTCCAAGCAATCAATGATTATCTACTGCTGCAGTGACACAGATAACCAAGTTATTTATTGTGTACTTTAAAATGCATTATATGATTTGAGAGTAGGACAGAGATTGCAAAAGCCACTTAGCCACTTCACCTCCCCCATTATGTTTCAACCAGTTTATTTTCAAAATCCTTCCTTTAGCAAATATTTATTGAACACCTATTATAAGTAGGGTACTATACTAGAGACATTCTGGGAGGATGAACCAAAATATAGAGTGACATGAAACCAAGAATTCTTTTAGGCAGTTGGTATGTATCAGACTTAGTTTTTTTAAACTATGTATTCCCTCCAACTCAGCTGAGTACCACTGCAGTAGAAAGCCACAGTCACCAATGAAAATGTTTAATATCCCTCAGAAGTGCTGAGGTTGAAAACTATGGACAAGCACTGTTACAGAACACTTAACAAATGATGTCATAATTTCAAAGTGGAGTTCAAAATCTAAGAACGATATGAGTGAGAAATGCTTTAGTCGGCTGGGTGCGGTGGCTCACGCCTGTAATCCAGCACTTTGGAAGGCCAAGGCGGGTGGATCACCTGAGGTCGGGAGTTCGAGACGTACCTGACCAACATGGAGAAACCCTGTCTTTACTAAAAATACAAAATTGGCCAGGCGTGGTGGCACATGCCTCTAATCCCAACTACTAGGGAGGCTGAGGCAGGAGAATCCCTTGAACCTGGGAGGCGGAGGTTGCAGTGAGCTGAGATCGTGCCATTGCACTCCATCCTGGGCAACAAGAGTGAAACTCCATCTCAAAAAAAAAAAAAAAAAGAAATGCTTTAGTAAATGGTCAAGTGTTGTAGATCAAGAATGATGTGACCATTACCTATGGCTGGTCCTCTGAGTGTAGTCACACAACCACTATTTTATGAAAAATACATCTTAAAAAGTGTAAGTCTATGCAGTATGATTCACGTACATGGTAAAAAGACCTATTTATAATGAAAAGTAATAATCCACACTCCTATCCCTTCCACCTCTAGTGGCAACCCTTGTTAACCAGTTGTTTTTTGTTCTTTTGGTAATTAACTCCTTAACCTGAACTCATATGCTTACATCATTATTTCATGATTCATCAGCTTTGAATGTATTGACTCGCTATGAAACATAAGAATTCAAATTGCTTAAATCAGTCCCTGATTTAATTGCTTAAATCAGTAATAATAAATATTATTATTATTACTATTTTTGAGACAGGGTCTCACTGTTACCCAAGCTTGAGTGCAGTGGCACAATCATGGTTCACTACAGCCTCAACCTGCCAGGCTCAAGCAATCCTCCCACCTCAGCCTCCCATGTAGCTAGGACTATAGGCATGCATCACAATGCTTGGCTAATTTTTAAATTTTCTGCAGAGATGGGGGTCTCCCTGTGTTGCCCAGGCTGGTCTCCAACTCCTGGGCTCCCACCTTGGCCTCCCAAAGTGTTGGAATTACAGGTGTGAGCCACTGCACCCAATCAACCCCTATTATTTTTATTTGAAACGGAGTCTCACTCTGTCGCCCAGACTGGAGTGCAGTGTTGTGATCTCAGCTCACTGCAACCTCCGCCTCCCAGGTTCAAGCAGTTCTCCTGCTTCAGCCTCCCCAGTAGCTGGGATTACCAGGCCTGGCTAATTTTTGTATTTTTAGTAGAGATGGGGTTTCACCATGTTGGTCAGGCTGGTCTCGAATTCCTGACCTCAGGTGATCTGCCCACCTCGGCCTCCCAAAGTTTTGGGATTACAAGTGTGAGCCACTGCACCTGGCCTATTATTTTTAATTCTTCATTAGTTACCTTGATTTTGAAATTTTTTTGAGATCAAGTTACCTTGATCTTTACATTTCTTTGGCAAAGATTTTAAGAGTACAGTTTAATGAATTTGTGTGTGTGATAAAATATATTAACTCAATGAGCTTTAACAAATGTATAGGGCCTGTGTTACAGACAGTCCTGTCAAGATATGGAACATTTCCATCACCCCAGAAAGTTTTTGTTGTTTGTTTTTGAGACGAAGTCTCACTCTGTTGCCTAGGCTGGAGTGCAGTGGCATAATCTCTGCTCAATGGAACCCCCACCTCCTGGGTTCAAGCGATTCTCCTGCCTCAGCCTCTTGAGTTGCTGGGACTACAGGCGCGCACAACCTTGCCCAGCTAATTTTTGTATATTTAGTAGAAATGAAGTTTCACCATGTTGGCCAGGCTGGTCTCGAATTCCTGACCTCAAGTGATCCACCACCTTGGCCTCCCAAAGTGCTGGGATTACAGGCGTGAGCCACCGCGCCTGGCCTCACCTCAGAAAGTTTAACTTTCTTCTCCACTTTCCAAATCAGTCTTCATCCCATTCCCACAACTTGCCAAAGGCAACCACTGTTCTGTTTGCTATAACCATGAATTATCTGTATCTGTTATACAACTTCATATAAATAGATGCAAACGTTATGTACTCTTTAGCACTTGACTTTTTTCACCTTAAAATATTTGAGACTTACACATGTATGTATCAGTAGTTGCTTTTTTATTGCTGAATAGCATTCCACTGTATGACTATATCACAATTTATTCTGTTGATAGGCATGTGAGATCTTTTCCAGCTTGGGGAATAAATCTGCTATGAACATTTTCATAGATGTGTTTTTGTGGACATATGTTTTCACATCCATTGACTAAGTTTTAAGAGTAGAATTGCTAGGTCATAGGATAGGTGTGTATTTAACTCTTAAGAAACAACCATCCATTTCCCAAAGTATTATACCATTTTACACTGCCTGTCAGCAATGTATGAGCATTCCAAATGTTCCACAGCATCACCATCTGGGCACCCCTACACAGATTTCTGGAGCTCCTTTGCTACACAGCTCCCTCCTTGCCAGTACCCTGCTGTATGCAGCCATCTCAGCAGCCCTATATTCAACTGTTTCCTCCACCCAATGACACCGATGCACTCTGTATGGGCTCCATGTCACTATGCACCCTCAGGTAGAAAGCCAGGGTGACTGTGGAGCTTCGCTTGTGTGTTTCTTCTCCCTCAATGATTACAGTCTTGTCCTGACTACTGCCCAATACCTGAAAACAATTTCTTCATATCCTTTGTCCAGTTTTATAGTTTATTGTAGGAAGGTAAGTCCAATACCCATTCCTTCTGTCATAACAATTACCAGAAGTCTTTAATACTTTTAAGAATATTTTTAAACTTCTATTTCTTGTTCAAGACATAGTATTTCTGACTCCCCAATATCTTTAGGCTGTGAACATAAACATCCTTATATTTCTATCTCTGTTCCTCCTTTAATTTTCCAACTGAGCCTTTAATTTTATATGGTCAAGGTAGGTTTTACATTTTGCCCTGACAAAACAATTAAGTGCTTTGTCTATCCCTGTGGTATTTTCTAAAATTTGTAAACCAAATTTTAAACTATTTTTTGAGATAGGGTCTCACTCTGTTGCCCAGGCTGGGGTGCAGTGGTACAATCACAGCTCACTGCAGCCTTGACCTCCCATGCTCGGGTGATCCTCCCACCTCAGCCTCATGAGTAGCTGGGACTACAGGTATGCACCACCATACCCAGCTAATTTTTGTATTTTTAGTGGAGACAGGGTTTCACCATGTTATCCAAGCTGGTCTGGAATTCCTGGGCTCAAGCAATCCACCTGCGTCAGCCTCCCAAAATGCTAGGATTACAGGTGTGAGCCACTGCACCCGGCTGTAAACTGCATTTATATTATTATAACTCCATAAATATCATTCACTGTAGAGATGGCTAGTGTCCTAGAATTATCTTTTCCATTTTGACTCCTGTGTTTGGAAAACATTTCTAGTGTTGAGTTCATATTGCCTTTTTTCTTGTACTCCATCAAATGCTCAAAATTGGACCAAATTGTAGTTGTTTTCAGTTCAGACACACTTAAACAGGTTTAAGTGGAAAAATAGCATTCTTAGAATTCAGACACACTTCCTAGCTTGCCACTTGTGAATGATGGGACAATATCTAGAAGATTTAAGTCTCTGCCATAGAGTCTCTCCACGAAATGGGATAAAACCACCTCACAGGATTGTTGCAAGAATTAGATACCTTTCACTTACTGATATAAAACAAGTACTCACGAAATACTTGCTGTTGTTAACTACTATTCACAACCCCTTCAGTGTTGTTCTTACAGTTATTCTTAAAAGGTAAATCTTCTGAGTAGTTTTGGTTATTCATGACATATCATGTGAACATGTGACCACCAGATACATTCCTGAAGATGACCAAGTAAATTACCTTCCAGATTTTCAAAACTATAGATTTGAAATTTGTGTCCATTTGTCTGCCTAGGCTAAAGTTTATTTCTGTTTAGAAATCCTTTAAAACCCAGTACACATTAATTTTTAAACATACTTACAACAGACTCTATCACAAAGAATTAGTGGCATGTATAAAATTTCATAATGTATGTAATATTTCCAGAGAAATGAGGAAAATACCAAGCTGGCTGGGCGCCGAAGCTCATGCCTGTAATCACAGCACTTTGGAAGGCTAAGGAGGGAGGATCAATTGAGCCTAGGGGTTCAAGACCAGCCTGGGGAACAAAGTGAGACCCCATCTCCATAAAAAATAATTAGATGGGCATGGTGATGCACACCTGTAGTCCCAGCTATTGGGAGGCTGAAGCCAGAAGATCGCTTGAGCCCAGGAGATCGAGGCTGCAGTGGGCTACGATGAAGTGCCATTGCACTTCAACCTGGGTAACAGAGCACACCATGTTTCAAAAACAAAACAAAAAATCCAAGCTATTCTTAAACATTTCAGAAGCACTCCACATGAATGAACAGTGAAGTTGATTTTTTATTTTTTTTATATATATATATATATAATTTTTTTTTTTTTTTTTTTGAGATAGTCTTGCTCTGTCACCCAGGCTGGAGTGCACTGACATCATCTCGACTCCTTGCAACCTCCACCACTCAGGTTCAAGCGACTCCCATGTCTCAGCCTCCCGAGTACCTGGGACTACAGGCATGAACCACCACACCAGGCTAATTTTTTGGTATTTTTAGTAAAGACCAGGTTTTGCCAAGTTGGCCAGGCTGGTCTTGAACTCCTGATCTCAAGTGATCCGCCCACCTCAGCCTCCCAAAGTGCTGGGATTACAGGAGTGAGCCACTGCACCCAGCCCATAAACATGTATTTTTAACAAAAGATACCTAGACCCCTGTTATGACAGTTTTTTAAATGACTGAAGACTTTGTTACGCCAACCATCAGTCACCTGCATTTTTCTGCATATAGGCATTCAGAAAAGAACAAATGAAAAGATAAACTAATCCTTAACTGACAACTTCATTTTATTAGGGTGAGAAAACCCACACCAATTTGTTAAATAAATGCTAATTTGTTAATAGCCATGTGATCTCTTCCTCCTTTAAACTTCAAAGCATTTTGTATTTTCACCTGTGTTGACCATTCATTAGTTCATAAACATTCCACTGAGCTCCTCCTGTATGCCAGGGCCTGTTGGGGAATGACTGGGAGGCTCTCTGGAGCTCTCTCTGGAGGTAGTCTCGCTGAGGAGAAAAGAGATTGGGCCGGGCGCGGTGGCTCAAGCCTGTAATCCCAGCACTTTGGGAGGCCGAGGCGGGTGGATCACGAGGTCAGGAGATCGAGACTATCCTGGCTAACATGGTGAAACCCCGTCTCTACTAAAAATACAAAAAACTAGCTGGGCGTGGTGGCGGGCGCCTGTAGTCCCAGCTACTTGGGAGGCTGAGGCGGGAGAATGGCGTGAACCCGGGAGGGGGAGCTTGCAGTGAGCCGAGATCGCGCCACTGCACTCCAGCCTGGGCGACACAGCGAGACTCCGTCTCAAAAAAAAAAAAAAAAAAAAGAAAAGAAAAAAAAAGAAAACAAAAGAGATCGAAGATAGGAGATCCTAGGAGCTACAGACTTCCACTGTTGTTCTTAAAAACTGGAAAGTCTGTGCTGGTATTTTCTCTCCTATCAAACTGAATTCCTTTGTAGGAGGGCTTATACCTACATTTACCTAAACACTGAAGAGTTCACAGTATAGTTCCTTGAAAACAGCAGTGTTTATTTTTTGTTGAATTGAACTGAAATTTACCGCCACCACTGCCACTCCCTTCCTTTCTTTTCCCCTCGTTTTACCTCATGCTTCTCCAAATCTCTGTAGTCCCTGAGAATGTTTCTTAGACCAGGAACTTGGGATGCAATAATCTTGAAAATCATATAAAAACAACTCCAACCACCACCAGAAGAGTAATAAAACAAGCTAACACTCCTGAAGGCAGAGCCCACCTCTTTTGTATCTTTGTATATCTGTTAACTGGCATAAGGCCTGGAACACAATGGAAGCTCAGTAAATACTGATTAGGTGATTGCCACCTAGGGATCCTCAGAAAGCAAAGGTGAAGTTGGACATCACAGAAGCAGAGATCTGCTCAATCTGTGTGGGGCATTATCTACGCCCAGATTTAGCTTTTTTTTTTTTTTTTTTTGACATAGGAATTACCATTTTAACCATTTGTAAATGTGCAGCTAAAAATACACTAAGAGCATCCACATTGTTTGCCACCATCACTACCGTCCATCTCCAGAGCTTGTTCATCTTCCTAAAGTGAAACTCTGTGACCTTTATGTAACTCTCCATTACCCAATCCTGGCAGCACCTTTACATTTCCTATCTGTATGAATCTGACTGCTGCTCTGGTTTGAATGTTTGTCCCCCTCTCACATTCAGGTTGAAATTTAATTGCCATTGTAACAGTATTAAGAAGTGAGATTTCATTTATTTCCCGTTTCTTCATTCAAAATCTTTTCTGAGCCTCCATTGTGGGTCCAGTGCTGAAAATTGGGACTATTCCTTACTTTCATTCAATAAAGTTACTAAGCACCTGACAGAACAGTACATCCTGGGGACTTGGGGATGACATTCGTTCAGCTTTCATGGGGCTCCAACTATCTGACCCAGCCTTGCATGACAGCTGCCTGTTTCCCCACTAGATTATAAAGCCAGGGAACAATTCACCTGTACACACTTAGTGCTGAGCCTGTGAGCATCCTAAGTGTTTGATAATCACGCTCTTCTGCTTAGAAGCCTGCAGTACTCTCCATTTCACTTAAGTAGCCCAAATCCATACAATGACCTATGCAGATCATTAAGGTCTACCTTCCAGTTTCCCCTGCACTCTCTGGTTTGCTGTTCCTCAAACATACCCTTTAGGACCTTTGCGTTCGCCGTTCTCTTTACCCTCAATGCTCTTCCCTCAGACACTTACAGACTACCTTCCACCCCTCATTCAGATTTGTACTATCCAACATAACTTTATTTTTTGTCGGAACCTCCTCCATCCCTACAATGTAGGCAAGTGTTGTTTGCTTATAGACGCTCAATAAATACTTGCTGAGTTCATAAATACTCCACTCCGCACCCCCACCCTAGGTTGGCAGAGGCCTCAGACCTTTTGCTAGCCCAAGTCCCACCTGATGGGCACCTACGCTGCCGCTAAATGATGGCACATCGACTCCAGCCCGAGAGCACCCCGCCTGCGGGTGCCTCCCAGCCCACAAGCTGCGGCGCGTGCGAGTAGAGGCAGGAAGGGAAAGCCCAGGAAAGTAGTGTACCGCAGGCCACATGACTGCTAACCGCTGCTTTCCCAGCGTCCGCCCCGCCGCGAGGGAGGCGGCTGTCCCAGGCTGAACCCCGCAGCCTCCAGTCAGCCCCCTAAACCAGCAGACGGCTTACCTGATCCCGTCACCCCGGGCGGCAGCGGCGGCGGCGGCGGCGCCTTCGGAATTCGCCTCCAGCTTCGCTTCCGCTTCCTAACCCCGCTCCGAATGGCATCCTGGGAATTGTAGTTTTTCGTCTGCCAGCCGCTCGTGGGGCCGGGCCGGCGCGAAGGCTGTGGCTTCTGCTCCCAGCCCGGGCTCTGGGGAGCTGCGTCCAGCCGTGGGGCCGGGCCGGAGCGGAGGCTGCGGCTTCTACTCCCATCCTTGACGCTGGGGAGATGCGTCCCGCCGTGGGGGTTGCCCGCATTCTCTAAGCCCCGGTTTCCCCGACTGTTAGACGGCGATCACAACCCCAACCCCTTGCTAACTTCACAGGGCTCCTGCAGGTGACCAGGTGCTATGTTGGTTGTCAAGGGCTGGACATTATGGATATTGCGAAACTGGGGTGTGTGAAACACAAAGAAAAACAAAGCCGACTGAATGGACCTCCCTCTCGGCCAACGGGATTCCAAAGAAACATTAAAAACTGGTTAAGGCCATGTTGGGAAGGGGGAGCGGAGCGGGGCCGTTGGGCATGTCTGATACTATATCCCGTCCCTTTCGGAGTTTAGACCCAACGGGGACTGGCAGAACAGAATCTTTGTAGCAATAAGATACCAAATTCCAACCTGACATCACATGACAGAAAAAGAAACCAAAAACTTTTACCCCAAAATATGTTTCATTGCCTTAATTTGAAATGGCCCTGCAAAGCTGTTTTGTGTTGGGGGTGCGGGAGGGATTTGCACCTGTAAAAACATCTCTATTACCATAACTAGATCTTTCCCCTCCCAGGTCCTCCCAATTCTGAAGAGATTAACTGAGTCTAGCACCTTTTTTCCCCTTCGTTAACAGGTGAAACCAAATTTGGATCGCCTATCATTCCACAGCCTTGCCCTTCCCCAGGCTTTGCCATAGCCAGCAGAGCCCTCGAGCTGACACAGACCTTTCCTGAGCACACAACCACCCTCTCCACTGCCCCAGCGCACAAGAGAGATGTCAGGGCTTTGATCAGGATGATTCCAGCCCCTGGGCACTCTTCTTCCTCCATCAAAGACACGAAGCGGCTTGCCCAAGACTTGGCCTCCTTATCAGCCACTCTTCCTTCACTCCTGCAGTCCTAGGGGTCTCACCCATTCAGAGACACTCCAACCTGAATGAGCCCGAAGTCCTGTTCAAGAAACTACAGCCTGGTTGGATTCCTCCTTGGCCCAACTTTCCCTCTCTGGACTTTTCTTTCCAGGGCTCCTCCAGCACCTACCACTCATCCCCAATCCATGCTCCAATCCATCCTTTATCAGCTTCCAGGGCGATTTCTTTCTTTTCTTTTCTTTTTTCTTTTTTTTTTTTTTCTTTTTTTTTTTTTTTTACAAATTTTTCTTTTTCTTTTTTATTCTTATTTTTATTTTTTTTAAAATAGAGATGGGGTTTCACCATGTTGCCAAGGCTGGTCTTGAACTCCTGGGCTCAAGCGATCTGCTCGCCTCGGCCTCTCAAATTGCTGGGATTACAGGTGTGAGCCACTGTGCCTGGCTGCGATTTTTAAATATTAACACTAAACACTCATTCCCGACCCCCTCCCCCACCCCCATAAGGCTTTTTCTAAAGCCCAGCTTTAACATCTCTGCTCTGCTCTGCTCAGAGACGGCCCTGGCTTCCCACTGTCTGCTGAAATGCCCCAGTGGGGCTTGCACAGTGGCTGAAATGATCTTCAATGACGCCTTCAGGTTTTAGCTCACACTACACCCACCAGTCCCTGCACCTCACACTGAGCCATGCTGAACGCTTTCCCCCACTCCCTGCCACCACTCTTGTGTCCTTTGCCTCTGAATAAGCTCACAGCCACTTTCCAGTGGGAGGAAAAGACCTTCTAGCTGGTCTCATTGCTTTCCCCAAACCCCACTTCATGCGTTTGCCATGTGATTATGTGTCTCTCCTGATGTAATCTAACCCCCTTCCCGAGGTCTTGTGTTACACAACTCAGCTCCTGCATGCCCCTCCCAGCTTCATCTCCTATCACTCTTCCTCCAGCTTGCTATGTTCCAGTTGTACTGATCCTGAAATGCTTCAAACGCCCTGTGAGCCTTGCAAATACTGTTCCCTTTCCTCTCACTTTTCCATGGCTGGCTTCTTATGCTTTAGGCCCCAGCTTCAGCATTCCCTCTTCAGAAAGGCCTTTCCTGACGACCACTCTGGCAAGATTGGTTCATTGTATCCCTGTCTTGGCATCTTTTTTTTGTTTTCTTTGTTACCTCTCAGTCAGTAATGGATTTTTTTTTCTGTGTCTTTCCTACAATTATAAGTTCCTTGAGGAGACTATGTCTGCCGTGTTCACGGTTGTATTCCCAGTGCCACTACATAGTAAATATTTGTCGACACAGTAAATGAATGATTTTTCTCTACGTTCTTGACATATCCAAATTCTATCTGTCAAATCCAGGACCTGACACACAGTACTCAATAAATACCTCTTGACATGCTAGTTTTAATTAATGCTGCCTTCTGCAGGAAGCCTTCCCTGATTACTACTCTGCCCCTTACCCAAAATGACTTCTCTCTCATTAGACCCCTCACAGCACCTTATCTGTTCTCTCTGGAGGCCTTGAGTGAACCGTGCCTTATGTTGTAAGCCTCTATCTCCACGTATCACCTAATCTCTATCAGGAGCTTTTCAAAATATAATAAGATTCTTCCCCAATTAGTTACATTCATAATGCTGCATCAGGCACCACCTGGCATGGGCATCCCATGAATGTTTGTTGAAAGAAATGAATCAGCCAATGTGATGGTGGGTGGGAAAAGGAAGGAAAGGTGTAAATGTCCCATCGTTTCTTAGTCACTAAACAATTGACTCTTGCATTTCAGGGTAGCAAGTCCCCGTTCTGCCTATCTCATGTTGGAGGCTGCGTGACTCCAAAGAAAGTGCTGAACAGTGCAATTTCCCCTGCTTCTTTAGCTTTTCAACAAACAGTGAAGGGTTTCCCAGCAATTCTGGAACTTAGTTCTCCTCATGGGAACTGTAGAGAAAAATAGCAGCTCCATACAGTAGCAACTCAAGACAGTTAATGAATTTGAGGGGAGGAGAAGCAAAGAAAAAGGAAACAAACACTTATTGAGTGCTGAGCTGGAAGCTTCAGTCTTCTTTCTGCCTTCCATGATTATGTATTCTTCACAATAATGCTGAATATATGTTATTCAACAATCTCTAGGGTGTTGACCATATTAGAAAAATGCATTCAAGGTATCTAAATAAGGCATCTGCCACATCGTAGGCCCTCATTAAATGAAAAGTATTATTTCCTTTATCCAGATGGGGAAACAGGCCCAGAGAAACGCATAACAACACAGGCCAAAGCCAGGATTCAAATCCTCATTGAGGCCAGGTGCGGTGGCTCACCCCTGTAATCCTAGCACTTTGAGAGGCCAAGGCGGGCAGATCACCTGGGTGCAGGGGTTTGAAATCAGCCTAGGTAACATGGTGAAACCCCTCTCTACTAAAAAAATACAAAAATTAGCTGGGCATGGCAGCAGATGCCTGTAATCCCAGCTACTCAGGAGGCTGAGGCAGGAGAATTGCTTGAACCTGGGAGGCAGAGGTTGCAGTGAGCCAAGATCACACCATTGCACTCCATCCTGGGCAACAAGAGTGAAACTCCATCTAAAAAAAAAAAATTCTTGTTGAGTGAAGTCCCGAGCTCCTCCCCTAAACTTGTGAACACATAGGTGTGTTCACATAAATGAGTGATTTACCTCTTCATAGCTTTCTGCTGGCAAAAGTTTCAAGTCGTGTTTAACATTAGGCAATTTTTATTATTTTGGTGTCCTGGAGTTCCTATTTTTCATTGCCATGAAACTGCTTCCAATCTGTGTTCAAGAGCCTCATTTAAATTGTATTCAAAGTATTCTAAGAAACAGGCCTCTAAGAAAATATGTCTTTTCCTGGCACAAGTACTGGTTAACTGGTTTCTAGTTATTAATAACAAGTCATTGGTAACAGGAGATGGGAAGGATGCCTTTTCACGTCTTCTCTCAGGTATTGTTTTCCTTCTGATTGGAGAGAGCTGAGGTGTGTGACTTAACACTCTCCTCTCTGTTCCTGCTTTTGCTGGATGGAGAAGAGGAGCCCTAGGGAAAAGCCACAGGGGCAGCACTGAGCTCACAACTGGTCAGGAGCACCAGAGGGACAAGGGACTCCTTTAATGAACTCTAATAGCCTAAGGTGAGTGACTAAACCACCTTTGGCCTGGACAGAGAAGCCAGGTGAAGAGGCATCCCAAGGGAGGCTTAAAATCAGTTTCCCTGGGGTCTAAAAACAAAATGCAGGGTATGGTTTCAGACTAGAATAGATATCCATAAGAGCTGACAGTTATAACTAGCATTTATCATTTACTAGATTGAGTACTTGCTGGATTTCTATCCCATAAAATGGGCACTATTAGTATCCCAATTTGCAGAAAAGAAAACCAAAGCACTGAGAGGTGAAGTGGCTTGTCTAAGGTCCACTGGGATGAACTGGGATAAACTGGCTCAACTGGGGTAAGAAAGGTATCCAATATATTTCTTTTGCTTTAATATTCTTAAAAAGGCAAATCTAATTCAAGGCTTTAATGTTCAACTTTTTATTTTTATTTATTATTATTAATTTTTTTTGAGATGGACTCTCGCTCTGTCACCCAGGCTGGAGTGCAGTGGCACGATCTTGGCTCACTGCAAGCTCCGCCTCCCGGCTTCAAACGATTCTCCTGCCTCAGCCTCCTGAGTAGCTGGGATTACAGGTGCATGCCACCACGCCCAGCTAATTTTTTGTATTTTTAGTAGAGACGGGGTTTCACCATGTTAGCCAGGATGGTCTCCATCTCCTGACCTCGTGATCCGCCCGCCTCAGCCTCCCAAAGTGCTGGGATTACAGGTGTGAGCCACTGCTCCTGGTCAATGTTCGACTTTTTATATATTTAAAACAGGAATAAGGTGCAAGATTCAGGGATGCGATCAATTTCAGATAAAGCACATGTGTGGCCTTGCAAGTAAAGAACTTCCTGCCACCTAGTGGCAATCTATGCTTGCTGCAGCAGGGCA